ATGCAGGGTGTTAAAATAATTTTTGCTTCTACCAGCTAGGCACATCAGTTAACATGCAGGAAATGTGCCTATCAAGCAGTGCTGTTCAAGTGAATTTTTGGCTTGTAGTAACCATTGAATACTCCTTCTCCAGCACATCCCAGACCTTGATCAAAATCCCTCTTGCCCCAACCAGGATTTGGTCCCCTTTCCTGCCTGGGTGCAGGGAGGCAGCTGCACCCAGCAGCCTCCCACCTCCCTTCCTGGTGGTGGCCTTGCGCAATGGGGAGTCTTTGTCTCCAATGTCTAAGGGCCTGGAGCACACTCTGTATATACCTTCCCCACCCAGGTTAATGTAAATGAGTAACAAAGCAATTTTCAGCTGGGAAGCAGACAGAAGAAGGCTTATTTGTCTTCCCTCCAGCTTGAGGATTAGAGGGATTCGGCTGCAGGACCACATAGAGCTGTTTGCTCACCTGGGAAGGTCACAACACGAGGTTCTAGGACTGCTACAGCCATTTCTAACGTGAGCTGTGAAGCCCCCTCTCACCAAAAGCCCAACTGCTGCTAGCATATTTTCAGCAGCCACAAGGCAACGTAGTGTATAGAAGGAGAGACTGACATCAGGGCTCCATCCATCCTCCAAAACCAATGGAGGCAGGTATTAATGCAAAACCTACATGCTTCCCTTTTTCCCTCCCACCCCTGCTATTTTATAGGCTTCCAAGCACTGTTTTCTGGCTTTGAACAAAGTGCTACAGTGAAGGTCTGGCAGCTTTCCTGACTCATCCATCTGCAGCTTTGACTTGTGGATGCCCTGTGCTGCCTACTTCAGAGAGCTTTACATTTGGAGGGGTCACCCTCAGCACCCAGGACAAACACCCAGATAGCTCCAACACTACCTGAAAGAGACAATTCCCTAGGCACACAGGAAGCTTTGGCTCTGTGAAGCAAGAGGCCAATGCAGCAGAACCAGCCATCTCTGCCAGGAAGTGCTGCGGTCCACCGGCCCCTGCCTGCCTTCCTAGCAGCCGTGCAGCTCCCTGTGGCAGTCACCGTAAGCTAAAATGCATCTGGGCAACAGTAGCACTGCAAGTGGTGAAAGAGTTAAAAAAGAAACCAAGTACTGTTTCATAAAGACAACGCTATTCAAGTGCTGTTTAAGTGCTTATTACCCGATATAAAAGCCCCCCAATAAGTGAGGTGTTTTCTTGCACTAGTCATATGAAACTGAGTCCACTGGTTCACAATTGATTGGAAGGGAAAATAGAAATGCAGAGCAACTTTCACAAGGGAAAAAGAATATGTTTCTGCTTCTTCAGAAACAAACACAACCATTCGCACCATCGTGGCCACCCAGCAGCAGCACCACTTTTATTTCCTTAGTCTGCAGAGAAGCACACCTACCATGGCTTTCACATATTTCTAAATCCACAAGTAATCCACATACCTGATCTTCTGACAGACCCAAACCATTCCTGAAAACGTCCCTACCTCCAAATACTCATGCCATTACAGCAGCGTGCACATATGCAAGGTGATCTGTGGTCAGGCCCAAGTCAGCTTGTGGAGGTACTGCTCATTAGCTGTAACTCAGGTCCACCTATGGTAACGCAAAGTAATGCAACTTATCTTATACCACTATTGGAGAAGCTGCACCACAGCACATTTGCTGTGCTCCTCCTAGCAGCATGTACGCACTTAGTTCCTGCAGCCCAGGTCACGCTTGGCAATTTATTAAACTCCATTAACATCACTGTGAGTTTGAGCTCTTAATTACCCTGTAATCTAGGCAAATACTAGAAAATGCAAGAGTTAAACCACTGCTGGTCTCATACAAGCTAACTTCCAACCTGCTCTTCGCTGCTGAGAAGACGACCAAAGGCAGGGAGGGAGAACTGGAACTGCTGTGGATACTGGCAGCAGTGAGACCACTGCAGGCTGCACTGACCCAAGAGTGGGCACAGGTCCACAGCCACATGGGACCCCTCAGCCTGCATGCACCCAGATGCACGCATTGCCTAATGGGCACCCCGCTCCACCCCTGGCCACTGCTGGGATCATGCAATTTGCTGTATGAAGGCTTTTTAAGCTACCTGAGAACATCACATTCCAACTCTTATTGAAAGCGTAATTGGAAGTCTCAAAAAGCAATTACACTAAAAGCACTCTGCAGTGAATCAACTAACTACCCATTTGCCCGTGAGCCTCTAGCACCAGCCGCAGCATCAGCCGATGGGGCTGTACTTCCAGGATACGTGCATGGAGCTGAGCACGGAGGGAGGCTTCACACATGGGAACAAGCCAACAGCTTTCCCCTGGAAAGAACTGGGGTTTGTTTGTTACCACAAACACTCACCCTTTCTCAAGTCCTTTGACACTATCCCACCAAGAAAGCAAACAAGCAGCAGATAGCAAGCCTGCTGAGCCAGGGAAAAAGGATGTTTGTGTTTGTTTACAATTCAATTACAACTTGAGATGTTGCAAGCAATAAAAGGAAAAACTACATTCTGGTTCTAGAAACCCCTAAATCTTATGTGACCTATGCCTTGTGAGGCACAATAAAAACATAAATATCTACATGATAACTTCCCTTTTTTCCCCCCTGCTTCTGCTCTGTTTACAGCACAGCTGGGCTAATCCCATTTCCACTGCTCTGTATTCTGACCTCCTTAAACAACCCCATGCTAGGATGTTAAAACACTCTAATCTATAAATAATGTATTCCCCTCATCCAGCAATGGATTACTGGGCCATAAAACGTACTGCAACACACCACAGTTGCCTGTTTAAAAAACAATACTGAGAAAGACTTATCAGTAGAGAGTTGTCCTCTTTCTTGCCAAATTCTTTTAAAGATTTGATGCCCCCATTACTTTTGCATTGGAATTTTGGTTTTTAATAAATTGTTTAGGAGCTGGTATTTTATCCTAGTGACCTCTTTTTCCCCTCTCAAAGACCCTTTACTTTTTTTTTTGTGTGCTATTAATCCTCACAGCATGGCAAAAGACCAGCACCAGCTAACTAATCTGAGCCAAAGTGAAGGGGGAGCAATAAAAGGCTGCCATACGGCACAGGACCTCAACATAGATGATGAGGCCACACTTTAAGCCCAAGCCAATCTGTTGTCCCAGGTGGGGAGCTCCCATTTTTGTTACTCCCCCCCATAATCCTGCCTTAGTTTCTAGTGGGAAGATGCTTGGATATTCACTGGACCACTGCCGGGCCACTCCAGGTCACTGATGCCACAGGAAACTATCTGTATTTTCCTTGGGTTTCATTTTCAAACAGCCATTACCTACAACTCAAGCCACAATATGCAACTTCATTTAAAGATAAATTGAGTCTGTTCTGAAGATTGATGCCTAATAGGCTTGTTCCCGCTGCTGCGATGGTGCAAAATCAATGATTCCTTGCCACCAATACCAGCAGGAATCTTACCACTGATTTCCTAGAGCAAAAGCACAAAGCTCAAACAAACACTTAAGTGATGCAAATTTGCAGTTTTACAGATTTTTTTTTTTCCAACAGGCATGCTGGAAAAATGAAGTGCTTCTGCCTCAAAACAAGTTGGAACCCTCTTGAAAGCAGACATGCACCCTTTAAAGAGCAGCTCCCCTAGGAAGCGTAACCGGGCTTGCCACACTTCAGCACTTAATTCCTTAGCTCTATCTGTTGTGATTAACACAGCAATTTTCCACACATTTTTCATAATGCACAGATCACTTCTAACTCCAAAAGGACTGGGGAAAAACAAGCAAGCAACCCACCAACACCCACAAAACCTGCTTCCTTCATTCCACTGCACTAATCACATGTGAAAATTGAAATCATTCCTGCAATATGAAAACACCATCAAAGGAATTAATCGCCGCCTTGACAATGGGTTTCTGGTATGTTAAATGAAACTATTAGAGCACTAACATTTCCAACAGCTACAGTGTGACTTAATTCCCCCCAAAAGGTACGCATTATATTTTGCCTCTGCACAGGAGTGTTACTCATGGCTGATGGGTTGCAGCACCGCTCTGAATCAGGTCTGAACCCTGCCCGTCAGAAAGCAAGCCCGTGCCCCTCAGGAAGCAGAATCCATATCCAACACTTCCACAGCAACCCTGAAGATTGCAGGTCAGGATCGCAAGCCCAGAGAGGACGGCGAGCCGGCCCCTCAAAGGCAGAGGAAGAGCAGAGCCAGGAGACAACGCTATCCACTTGGTTATTAGCCCTAATGCTTAGTCACAGTAATTGCAGGGCCAGGGCTCCGTACTCACATTTCCTGTCACCAACCCAAGAATTAGGCAATTTAGATTTAAAGATAGTAACCAGTATATAAAATAACCTGGTAAGTGATCGCAAAAGTAGCTAAGAGACAAATGAGTAACTCAATACAGAAAAGGCTCCCCTAGCCCCTGCTTCTGCAGCGTTATCAGATCCCGGATGAGTGCGAGATCCCACCAACCCCAGCCTTCCCACCCTTACTGAAAAGCATGGCAGCACTGCCCGTCGCAATGTTTCAGCTTTCCCCACCTCACAGAAACACCTAACAGAGCTCAATTCAAGTTGAAACCTTTCACGGGGCTCATTTTCAACAATTAAAGAGCATGACAACCTATAATTACTGAAAATAAAGCCAGACAGCAGGAGAAGGGAAACGTCTTTAATAAGTAACACGATACTACATTTTCTCTCTTGGGGAATTTAAGTCCCCGGCTCCCCATTCAAACAGTTTGAGCTCTCCGTGTCTGCAATGAATCCGGTGTGCTTCTGCTACCTGCAAGAAGCGCAAACTCTGCAAGAGGAAACAACACTTGACGATTTGATTAAATGCAACCCAGAGAAAGCAGCACCTCCATCTGTGCTGGGGAAAGACAGAAGTTAGGAGAAGAAAGCCTTATGGGATGCACAGTGTCTTAGACAGCACAATGATGCTACACCCCCAAACACTTTTTCCCAGCTCTTATTCCCCCAGTCAAGCACACACAACGCAAGCAAAAGTCAATGTTGTTCGTGAAGTAGCTTACCACTCATCATCAACAGCACAAACATCTTTGCCTGCTGTATTTCCCAAGCCCCAGCTGCCTGTAGCAGAAAGGAGGAAGCGCCAGCGTTTCATTCCCCTTCTGCTTCAGAGTGGGTGTAACTAGTTAAGTTTCATGCTAAGATGAGACGGGTCAATTGGGTGTGTTTGAAGGTTTGGGGTTTTGCCATCCCTCCCTCCTTCCCTCCCTCCCTCCTTTCTTCCCTCCCTCTCTTGATTAATTCCTCCCGTTGCAGGCTTCAGACGAGCTGCCACTCAGCCCCACTGGCTCCTGAAATCTGAATTCCTAAGGACACCCCTCCGGGGTGACTTTAACTCACCAGCCTGGCGTGCTCGAGAGAAGCCAGGAGCTAAAATACCCAGTCAACCCACAGAGGCGACTTGCACATCAGTTACGCATGAACCAGCTGTGCGGTCCCCTTCTTTGTACTGTGAAACTGCATCATCCTGGGCATTTCACTGCATTTTCAGGGAGCAATTCACCAGAAAGACATAAAAAACTTCTGACCTCCTCTGTGCCTTTTGCCATTGTCCTCAACTGCCTGATGTCCCAAAGGATTTCTCCCTGGGTACATATCTGGACAATGCTTCTGTGGAGGACATGCATTCAAAAGGCACGGGCAATTGCCTCCCATTAAGCTGTCCACAGGTGAAAAAGTGTTTGCATGATCAAGAACTATAGGGATTTTAAAATTACACATAGATCTGGTTTTACTTAATTCACCACTTCCATGTAACTGTCTCTGGATTAGGATTTGAACAGCAGCATCCTCAAGACCAGGGCTGGTTAATGGTTGCTATAAATAACAAATACCAGTACAAAACCTAAACCATCTGTGTTTATCCTCCGACTTCCCCCACCTTGACTCTGCACCGTTTATACGGGAGAAGAAAAACAGGTATCAAACTATTCTTGGAATGAAGTAGACAACACAGTAAATACAAAGACAACACAAATCAAACTGGTTAACAAATTAACATTTAAAACTCTGCGTGGTACTTCAAAAAAACAGACTATTAGGCAAACCATATCCTTGCAGTTCTGCTCTCTGCAACCCTGCCATGACCACCAACTGGGAAAAGGACAAAACCATTAGGCAAAGAAAACAATAAAATGGCAAAAGGTACGTAGAGCAGAAGCCCAGGTCTCCCACTTCATTTTACACACTGGTTTGTGACTGCAGCAATTAAATAGCTGCAGTGAGGCTGTGGGTGCTATGGGTTCTGGCAGAGAGGATGAGAGATGACTATTTTGGGCCAGCAGGAGATGAGATAGTTGGAGAAGCGATCTGATGCGGCGCAATCATCTTTACACACCCCATTATCAGAAACAGACGCGCAAGCCGAGCTTCCTGGTACGGCAGTTAGTTTTAGCCCACTTCAAACAGCAGGTTTGATTTAACTTTACATCTGAGTACTTGCAGCGTCAGATCTTTCTGATGTATCTGCCCACATTTAGAAAGCACCAGGTCCCCCGTGACCACAGGCACTCTTGATTAGCACCAGAGTCCTCCCTCTCAACAGCAGAAAAGGGCTGAAGGAGGGATGGGATCAGACAGACTGACTGGACTAAAAAGTACTGTAATGATCGATCCTTAGCCTTACGGTTAATTTAAACACCAAGTGAGCAACACCAACAGCTCCTGTTTGTGGGCAGAGCAGAAGAAACAAACGGGACAAAGCCCAGGGGAGCGGACCGCCTCCTCCAGCAGTTTTTGTGGCTGGTAACTAGCAAACCCCGAGCAGGCGAGCAGGTTTGGCGAGCCATGGGTGACTCAGAAGGTGACTGGGGGTGCTGCTGCTACCTGCCTTCAGGTTCACTCAGGCAGGCACGACCAGCACTCACCATCTTCAGCCCATTCAAACAGCCCAAAAGGCAAAGCCACATCCAGAGCTCTGACGCCTCCCACCCTTAATCGCTCCCATCAAAACGACTTCGCCATTACACGGAAACCGATGTGTATGCATACACAGGCATGCATGCACACAAGCTCCCCTAGATACAAAACAATTACGCTCCAGTCCTAAAGGAGGAACATATATGCTTACTACAACAGATCGCAAGCGATTGTCTGAAGCATTTTTCAGCTTAAGAGGACTAAAGGAGGCACACCCTTTTGCTCCCAGTGTCAGGTCAATTTGCACTCTGCAACAGCACTTTGGGGCACCTTTTCCTGCTGGTTCACTGCTACCTATAGCAAGACCCTTGGCATAGCCAGGACTCACAGGAAAACATAAACTACATGTGCCTCGCTCCCTGTAAGAGCTGCTTTCAGAAAGTTTCAGACAACCAAGTCATAAATCAGCAAGTCCCAGGTTAATCTGGCCACTGGTGGATTTTAAATCAGATGGATGAAAGAAAAGCAGTAACTTCCCCTTCCCACTGTGACCTGTAGCACTGGAATAAGAAACAGCAAGTAATAAATAGCAAGACTGATGTACTGGAGAGAGATGCACAGAATTACAGGTGCAATCCTGTAGTTAAGGTTGGTTGTAGGTACAGCATTTGATCTGGTTGATACGGTTGTGGCTGCAGTCCTGAGGAGGGGCTGGAGGGAGGGCAAGGGAAGCTTTCTCCCCAGACACATGTTAGCCAGACTGAGGAATGGGGCGATGGCCTTTGGGGAAGCCTGGCTGTGTCAGGCGAGCTGCAGAGAGCAGGTGTCCACGGCCGCTTGGGGAAGGCTGACAACTGCCTCTCCGAGAGCCATCCAGCGCAGCGCCATGGCTTGTCAGCTCACGCCTGCCTGCTGCGGGAGAACAGGCATTTCCAGGCCCTGGCCCTGTCACCCCAGCTCGGCTGACGCATTTGGATACACGCCTTTTGATGTGGGCTTCCTCTGAAGGCGCGGGAGCCAACTTACATAAATCTTAATGCTCTCCTGCGCTAAGTGATCAGCGAAGACCTACCGAAACCTGTTTTGAGACAACCTAGCATATCCAGCCCAAAATGGGCTGGAGACAACCAGGCCAGCCAACAACTAAGCTGGACAACCTCCAGGAGCTTGACGAAGTGGCCACCAGCTAAACCCTGAGGTCGAGGGCATGCATCTACTCTTCCTGTCTCAGCTGAGTAAAGACAATACCACTGGGAAAAGACCCTTTTTCCTCCAGCATCAGCAGGACAAATCCCAGCAACCCTCCAGGGAGTCCACGGGCTCACCCAAACACCCAGCTGAGATGTGGAGACCCCACCACAGAGCCCTGAGGAGAAAGGTCCCCCAGCATAGCATGATCTACTTGCAGAACAGCACCTTCTCAGTGGTGAAAGGAGGAGAGAGGGGCTCCCATCAGACACAAGCCAAGTCTGCATCCTGCATAAAGGTGTATTTATCAACCCTAATTAACATGCCGGGCTTCCCACACCCTGGCACACCTGCTGATTAGCACATATGAGTTAATCTCATTTTAACAATGGATTACCACTTTGGGCAGAAAAATGGGAGTCACTTCAGTACAGTGACTCACCCCGAGCACAGCAGCAAGGTAAGATATAAAGAGGATCAGCCACGCTTGCACAGGGCTACACAGACCGTATCTCTGACTACGGCTTACTTTACAAAGCCAAGGTGCTTCAAAAATTCATGATTGTATCTGTCTCATTTTCCACCTGCACAAACAGGTGGCCTTGAAGAGGCGTCCTGTCTAGATCCTCCAGACAACTGGAGCCACTCAGGTGTTTCTTCAAGTCCTTATAGCCATGGTGGAGCTTCTAATGGTCCCAGCTACCATGATTATCTCCTGCTGTGGTCAATCATGTTTCAGGACATGACTCAGGGCCCACCAGATACTTATCATCTGCCAGGAATGACCCCAGGGGAACACCAAGGTGCTGATGCCCAACACCAGTTTCGGTGCTACTCCAGACATCCCATAACCACAGATCAGTGTGGTGGCTGAGGCAGGCACCCTGGTGCACGTTACTGTGACATTATACCTCTTTTTCACATAACACTGTAAACTGCAGCCCTACAAACGTGACCTGGGCTTCAAAGTTCAAGCCAGCCCTTACAGATCATTGAGGATGATGTGTCCAAGGCTTTCATGCTGGTACCCCTCCCCTGGGAGCAACATCCACACTTGTGCCTGTGCACCTCAGCATCTGGCAGGAGGGGCTGTGACCAAGAATACTGCTTAAGCAAAGGGCTGTCTCTGTGTCAGTGGGGACACTGTTTGACTCAAGCCAGCTTATATTCAATGATAAACTGAGGAGGAAAGTTGACTTAGACTGCATTTATTTTTTTACGTCTCAGTTTTCAGACTGGATCTCTATGATGCAGAAGCTCACAAGAGGGGACTGGAGGAAAATCACCACACCGCCATCAGAATCACTTCTACCCCCTGAAACTGCCTGCCTTCATGTTATTCAGTGAAAGCCTGCAAACCAACCCTTGACAATTGAAGAACATTATCACCATAAAAAATTATACTAGATTGAATGTATGCATTCTCCCTCTTATCAGAAAGATTTTCTCAGCCTCACGTTTCTATTTGGGTTTAGGAAGGGAGCTGTGAAAGGTAAGTATTGTTCAGCCACAAATAGCTCCCTTTCAGCCTCTAGAAAAGTAAGGTAATGAACTACAGGGCTGGGGCTTTTCCCCTTTGGACAGGTCAGCGGATATATCAACTCATGGCAAAACTGACCCCTGCTGTTGCACTGCAAAGGGTACTTGAAAAAGGTTTCTAATGAGCTATGGGGAGTGGATGCTGGCGATGAGCCAGAGCCCTTGCCTATGAAACCAAGACAAATGACAAGTGACATGAACCGCCTCTGGAGCAAACACAAGTTAAAATTTAAGGTTTGTGTTTCATTGTGCTGCTTGTGGCTGGCAGTTCTCACACGGACTTTGCAGTGCTTATGTGGGCACTTTACTCACACTCAGCACGCATAACTTCATGGGCAAAGGCAGGGCTCCTTGTTTCTTTACTGAGACAGTCCAGGTGCCTGTGGGTACAATACACACCTCTGTGTGTATAGGATTAATATCTGTAGAAGAGGCTAGCTTCTAGTCATCTAGCCTCAAGAAAATATCCTCGGTGGGTGAGCTCTTCCAGACACGCACACTAGCACGTGTGCACACAGGTACCTGGAGCCCCACAAGCTTCTGC